GAATATAGCTGTAGCCTCTCTAAGTCCAGATCATCAGCAAGATCAAAATTATCTCACACTTTTATAATCAAACTTTTTCAAGAACTTTCACTATAACATACGTTATGTTGATCATTCTTTGTGATCTGCAACAGTGTCTGGTTTGTCACACATCACATGTCTATTACTATATAAAAGTTGAATTTTCACATATATACAAAAAAAAATTTTTTATTATAAACAATCCAGAAACTTTATCACATATTGTATAAATCATGTCCACACAAGCTTCTACTTCTACAACAAGTGAGGAAAAATCCACTCCCACACAATCAGCTGTAGTTCGAAAGTATAATACGAATGAACTTATTGGATTTTTGCGTGAGCAAGAGGACCTGAAGCTTAATGATTCTCATTTTGAAATACTTGCAAATGAAGAGATCACTGGCCGTGATTTTCTCCAGATGACCAAACAAGAATTTAAGGAAGCTGGTTTAAAGATGGGACCTGCGTCAAGACTAGCAGACTTTGCCAAGAAGTCAAAGAGAAAAAATTGAAGCCATACTCATCATATAGAACTCTGAAAGATTTTGAAAAGGTTCTGGAGAAATTTGGAATTTGATGGTAAAGACATAAGAAAGATCCCAGAATTCAAACCAGGCAAGTTTCCTATTGTTTTTTTTTTTGTTTTTTTTGGAAGGGCTAACCTACATCCGGAAAATATAAAAAAATTTTACACATGTCAATTGTAAGTTTAATAATAAAAAAATGTAAAACTTATGTCAGCACTGTAAGATTTATGCAAGTTTACGCTAAATTAATTTCCTGATGTATATATACTTTATAGAAATGGAAAGAATTGAAGACAATGATGAAGATTTACAATATTGCATGACTGATAAAAAACGTAAAATGGGCAACTTAGGCTCAGAAACAGGCAGTAATGAAGCCTTGTGTTGTGAGTACATTTCTACAATACTACATGCAAGTCTCATTATTGCTAAAAGAATCACTAAAAAAAAAATCACTCTGAAACCTGAGTTTGAAGTCACTGGTGATGAAGCAACAGGTAGAGTTGACTATGCTATCAAAAAAGTCTTTGAAACCCTAGATGAAGAACTTATTTGCATTACTGAGGGAAATTAGAGTGATTTGACCAATGGATATATGCAAAATATTATGCAACTTGATAGCTTATACCACACAAAAATGAGAAAACGAAAAGCATCTGAAGCTTTTAATAATAAATTTGACTACTTCTATGGTGTTGTTAATACTGGTAAGTTATGAAGAAGATTAATTTACAAAGTTTGATATAATTAAAAAATTAATGATAGCTTACAATCTCTATCTTAGCTATGGATTGGCATTTCATCATGTATACACCAGAAAAGATTTACTGTGTGAAAGAAGACTATCATCTTCCACTCACTGAAGATATTTTAAAGGATGATAGAGGACTTCTCCAGAATTTAAAAAAGGTTATGGGGGTAATTGTGGGTTTGTTGAGGGACCGGGTTACTGTAGATGATTCACCAGTTACTAAGAAGACTAGAATGGAGAAATATATTAAATAGTCAGAGGATAGAAGTTTTGGCACTTATGTGTCTGTTTTTAGTTACAAATTCTTTACATAAACTTTGTAATACTCTTTGGCATACAATAACTACATTTACTGATTAAGAAATCATTTTAGTGATTTTTTAACATGTATACTGTGTCAAAAAAAAAAACTTTTTTTGCCACATCAATCACGATTATATAGAAACCTTATCTTATTGCATGAAATAAAAATTATATATCACCATTATAATGTGAATACAAATTAAAAAAATTGATTATTCATCTTGTGATTCACATGAGTATGCAATAATGTGGTAGAAGTTACAAGAAAATTCCCTCTGAAAAAAATCAGAGATTGAAGCTGGTGATCACATACATCTTTCCATCTCTAATAAATTTGATGAATATCCAAAGGAGTATTACTAAATGGAGGTTCCAAATTTCGGTTTGGATATCATTAACATTAAGAATAACAAGACAATTTAGAGTCATATTTTCACACTCCTATATATAAAACCAATAGTGAGTAAAATTCCATATAAAGTTTTTATTATAATAATAATACCTCACTTTGAAATAAATCATTGGCAATATTTGAAAAAAAAGAATGATATTTATCTTATAACTGAACTCTACTTATTTTTATATTGTTGTTTCATTCATCTGACTTGGAGCCCTCTAGGAAAAGATATTGACATAATATGATAACAAAATGCTTTTCACCTGCAATTAGTGAAATCTCTATCCATTAAGCAAATTTATTATCTCATAGAACTCAAATATGAATGTATTATCCCATAAAAGGCGAAATTAAATCTTTCAGCCCGACAATTGCTTTCAAAGAATGAAAATGACAAATTTTTGACAATCTTGGAGATAGCAGAGATCTCAAGTTCCCTGACATATGAATTTTGATATTATTTTTGAATAAGTATAACCAAATTTCCTCATTCATGTCCTTTTCAGGTTTCATTTGTAATTCCTCTTATCAGAGAAAACCATTTTCAATAAGAAAAATACATAATTATTAAAGATATAACCATTTTTATTAAATTGTTGTTAATAAAAATAAAATATTATTGATTTTTAAATATTTGGTTCTCTCTCCATCTCAATTTTTAAAAACCTACAAAGTGAACATAAAATTATATATATAGGAATAAGTGTATATATGAAAAGTAATAGTAAATATAATGGTTCTAATGAATATCAAAAAGCATTTGATTTTTTAGAAAAAGGATGTAATTGTGGTTGTTCTTCCAGGATTCCTAAGGAAAATTTTGCAGAATTAAGAGAATCCTTCCAAGCTCTTTTCAAGTCTGAACAAGACATATTTTTAATGGCCCAACTTAAAGCAATGGATGGTGGATCAATAAGCACTAGTAGATGCCTTAAAAAGAAAACCAGATCTCACAAAAGAACTTTCTATCATTGGGATCACAATACACCTCTTTGTCAAGAAACTTATCTCAATATGTTGGGAATTGGTAGGACTTATTTTGAAAATATCAGAAATCACCTGATTAATAATGGTCTTCTAGCAAGAGTTCATGGCAATATAAAGAAGATACCTCAATGAAAAACCAAAATGGTAATTGATAAGAATGTTGCAGAAGTAGTAAAGAATTTTCTTGAAAATTATGCAGAAGTCCATGGATTACCAAGCCCAGGCAGAAGTGTTAATAGAATAACTCAGTCAGTTATCTTTTTACCAGCTGAAATGAGTTATAAATCAGTGTATAGAGATTTTCTAGCTGGTCTGGAAGAAGATAACAAATTGAAATCCTTAAAATATGATGCATTTAGAAAACTATGACATCAATTAACACCAGAGATTCAAATTATGAGTCCAAG